ATTCTTCTGCCAATATTTATATAATAGATTACGCAGAAGAATACCCTAAATATCACCTATTAGGAACATGTTTATCCACAATTCTTTTACTATCTTGCTATACATCTCTTTTTCATATCTATCAAAAAAAATAATTAAACATTTCCGAAATATATTGAGATAATATAACTTTCCGAACTAACATCATGCATACACCAACTATTTTTGACCAAACTGATCGTACTGAATCTAGCCCAACGCTCACCCACTACGACGGTACTGAGTCTGATGAATACTTAAGTGACTCTAGCAGTTATACTGTTAATGGATCCAACTTAGGGTCAGATAATTATAATAATTGTGAGTCTAATTATGAGTCAGATAATGAAAAAGCTACTTGCGTCTCAACCAGCGTTATCAAGACTCCATTTGTACAAGAGAGATTGGACTCACCTATTAATGTAACATATACTTTAAGGCAGGAAAAGTTCAATGATAATTTTTCTCCCAAGAATTTGATAAGTGAAATCCGAAAAATCACCTTATCACCATCTAGAGATATGTCGAATGATAAAGGATCATTGGAATGTCTTCCAATTTATTCATTCCTCTTTCCGAATGAAAAAGGTTCTAGCTTATATAATGCTTATGACCGAAATGAGGTAGAAGATAAATTAGTTATCAAAATCGACCAAGATGGTGATTATGCTCCCAAATTTTCTGTTGCAGATGATATTTCAGAAGTATATGGCCTATCCGGGATTCATGAATGTATTAATGACCAAAAACCTTTAAGAGCCGTGATTGATATAGATGCTTCACAAGAAGATATGAAAATAACTAATGTTAAGACGCAAGAAGTATTCTTTCGAATCTGCTTATCTTTTATAAGAGCCTTGTATCGAATTCTTGATTGTAGCTGGAAGGATATTCTCAATGGTTTAGTAATCGCTACATCATCGGACTCTAGCAAGTGTAGCTACCATATTTTATACGCACCAGCTCTTCTTATTGATCATCACGAACTCAAAGCATTTACTGAATTAGTATATACTATAACTGGGGAAAAATTTGGCAAGTTTATTGATCGAAAATTACCTGGTCAAACTTTTAACCTTCGTCTTATTGGTTCAGCAAAAAAAAGTCGCATAAAGCGTATTCTTCAATTCTTTCTAGATAATGGCTGGAATGAACTCGATCATGTTAGGGTTCAACCGCCTCCTAGTTTGGGACTTGAAGTAAGACCTCAGATGCTTAGTGAAGAAAAAAATAATAATCCATTAAAAATAATCATAGGTCAGGATGAATTGCAAAAATATGCGAAACTTGTTTTGCAAAAGCATTCTAACTATCTTAGAGATTGGACTATCGAAGAAAAGGAAGAAATGAAGGAAAACTTCGTATATTTCAACCGGAAAGCTCTACTAGAATGTCCACTCTGCAAATGTATACATGACAAGGATCAGCAGTGGTTCGGCCGTGTATGCGCTAGCAATGGGAGGTTCATCGTAAAATGCTTTCGGCAGAATAGTGATGAACCAGAGGAAATTTTTGAATGTGACCCATCTATTGCAGAAAAAATTCGGCAAGAAAATAAAAAATCTCTGCAATCCTTTCACAAGGTTAAGGTTCCGGGTTTCCCTAAAGCCTTCTTAAAATTTCCATCTTAGGTCAAGTATGATGATCCCCTTACAGCTACAGAAATATATGAGGAGAGATATGTAAGATCATTACCTAATGAAGGCGATATTTATGTGGGATCACCTTGGGAGACAGGAAAAACATATATTCTAGAGCATCTTACTATATCTGATGACGTGAATTTACTAGTATTATCCACGCGTCACTCCTATTCGAATGCTGTTACTACAAGACTTAATCTCAAATCATATTG